AGGTGGAGAGTAAGTGAGAGGAAAGGGGGAAAGTGAGAGAAAGAGGGGAGAGGGGTAGAGGGAGGGAGAGAGAGAAAGAGATGGGGGTGGAGAGTAGGTGAAAGAGGGAGGGGGAGAAGGAGGGAAAGAGGGAGGGGGAAGAAGATGTGAAAGGGAGAGGGGAGGGGGAGAGGGAGAACAGAGAGAGGGGGAGAGAGGGAAAAGAAGGAGGGGATAAAGTGTGAGTGAGAGGGAGAGGGGATGAAAGTGTGAGAGAGAAAGGGAGAAGTGAAGATTGAGTGAGAGGGAGAAAGGGAAAGGGAGAGAAAAGAGGGAGAGGGAAGAGGGAGTAAAGAGGGAGGGAGAGAGGGAGGGAAAAGGGAGAGGAGGAATGGGAGGGAAAGTGCTAGTGGATGGAAAGTTGGGAAGATTCAAGAAAAGAGAGAAGGGGGAATGGAGAGTAGGTGAGAGGGAGAGGGAGAGAAAGGGTAGATAGAGAGTAGGTTAGAGTTAGATAGATAGATAGACAGAGAGAGAGGAGAGAGAGAGCGAAGAGAGAGAGAGAGAGAGAGAAGAGAGAGAGAGAGAGAGAGAGAGAGAGAGAGAGAGAGAGAGAGAGAGAGAGAGAGAGAGAGAGAGAGAGAGAGCAGAGAGAGAGAGAGAGAGAGCGGAGAGAGAGAGAGAGAGTAAGTGAGACACACAGACAGAGAAGGACAGAGAGAAAGAAAGAGGCTTACATGGAGGAAAAAGAAAACGAGAAAGAGAAAGAAATAAATAGAAAAGAAGAGGAATAAAGCACACTATACCACATCCTCACCCCCTCGCCCTCGCATTTTGCGCCTCCTCCTTCAAAATGAAAAAAAATGCTGCACATGATCCCCATCAAACAAAGGAAAGAAAAAAAAAAATAGTATATTATATATATATATATATATATATATATATATATATATATATATATATATATATATATATATATATATATATATATATATATATATTATATGTGTGTGTGTGTGTGTGTGTGTGTGTGTGTGTGTGTTTGTGTGTGTGTGTGTGTGTGTAAGATGAAAATTAATAAGAAAAAAATTGAAAAAACCATATGCTGTACATACCCCCCCCCCCCCTACCATCAAAATAATAAAACAAAAATAATAATTCATAATAGTAATAATGATGATGATGAATAATTAAATAAAGATTAAAAAGCAATTCCCTGGCCGCTTACCGAATACTGTAGAGAACTCCGCCGTCCGGGTAGATTCGGATGTAGAAATTCGGAAGGATGATCTTGTGGAAGTGTCCCTCCTTCTCATTCTTGAAGAACAAGTCAGGCATCCACACCATGTCAGCCTCTGTCAGCGTCAGGTACTTGATCCGCCCTGTGGGAGGAGACCGTCAGAAAAAGGGTGTTCGTATACCCTACTCCTGTCTACGTAACAAATGGCAGGTTGTGGTTGAAATCCTTCATGATGCTTTGGGATTTTCGACTTTAGTGCACTGTTGTCTGTCAGAGTATGTGTTATTTTTACCAGATTGTCTTTTTGTGTTTTGTTTATTTTTTCTGATTATTGTCTATCAAAATTATATGTTATTTGTATCAAACTGTCTATTGTCTTTTTTGTTTACATTTTTTCTTTATCTATTCATTCGTTTATGCATTTTTTTTCATGCTGCACAAGTAGTTAAGTTCTGTGCAACTAATTTCTGTGAGCTTTTGTCTCTCTCGCTGTTGCATCCACACACAGACACACATGATGAAAGGGTTAAGCAATGAGAATGAATAATTTAATAAAAAATGTGTGGTTAATATTTTTAAAATTACATCTTCAGAAATTTGCAATAATGAGCGAAGACACACACACAACACACACACACACACACACACACACACACACACACACACACACACACACACACACACACACACACACACACACACACACACACCACACACACACAAAAAGGAAAATAACCTTTCTTAAATTAAAAAAGGAAGACAATGCCACTTACCTCCCATATTATTAAAGGTAAGACGATGATCCTTCCACTGTTCTCGGAAATAGATCTGTATGCTGTATTCCTGTAAAGGTCATTTTTGAATACCAGTTAGACATGAAACTGTTTCGTGTGCTTTCGCTAAATTTGTTTATTTTTCAAATATCTCAAAGAACATAAAAAAAAAAGAAAAGAAAAGAAAAGAAAAAAAGAAGAAAGAAAATGAAAAATCACAAATCAGTGATAACAAAATATCATTAACATCATTGAAGTAATAAAAAAAACAAACAAACAAAAAAACGACACAGGCAAAATAAATCAAGTAAAGTAGAGCAAAATAACGAAAGTACAAAAAACTAGCCCAATAAAGTAAGTAAAGTAAAGCAGAGCAATTCGAGTAAGCAAACTGGTCCAACCAAAGGTCAAAATCAATAAAATTAAACGAAAATAAAAGATATTTACCATCTTGACGTCGGATATCGTCTCCACATTCCTGATCATGATGTTTATGCGAACAATGGCGGTCCTGGAGGGGGGGGGGGGGAGGGGGGTTAGACACGTATTTTTGCATTTTTGGGGGAATTTTCTTGAGCGAGAGATAGATAGATAGATAGGTAGATAGATAGATAGATGGATAGATAGATAGATAGATAGATAGATAAATAGATAGACAGATAGATAGATAGGGAAGAGGAGGAGATAATTGGTCCTGGAGGGGGAGGGGGAGGGGGGGAGGGGAGTTAGACACGTACTGTTGCATTTTGGGAGAATTTCTTGAGCGAAGATAGATAGATAGATAGATAGATAGATAGATCGAGATAGATAGATAGATAGATAGATAGATAGATAGATAGATATAGATAGATAGATAGATAGATAGATAGATAGATAGATAGATAGATAGATAGATAGATAGATAGATAGATAGATAGATAGATAGATAGATAGATTAGATAGATAGATAGATAGATAGATAGATAGATAGACAGATAGACAGATAGATAGATAGGGAAGAGGAGTAGATAATAGGTGAAAGAATGAACAGGAGAGAAAGAAAAATAGATAGGAAAGAGGAGACGAGAGGAGGAAATGAGGAACAGGGAAGAGGAGGAGGAAGTAGATGACAGAGAATGAGGAGAAGGGAAAGAAGATAGGGAAGAGGATGATAGAATAGACGAAAGATAATGAACAAGAAGAGAGAAAGAAAGACAAGGAAAAGCAGGAGGAAATAAACGAGGAGAGAAAGATAGATAGAAAAGAGGAGGAAGAAATCCGTGAAAGGAAATGAACAGGAGAGAAAGAGAGGGAAGGAGGAGAGAAAGACAGAAAACGAGGAAGAAGAGGAAGCGAATTGAGAGAATGAAAAGAAAGAACAAGAGAAAGCGGGAGAAGGATATATAAAAGAAAGAAAGAGAGGGCGTAGGAGAGAATAATAAAAAAGGAGTAAGGACACGAAGGAGAGAAAGATAGAAAGGAGAGAAATATAGAATGGTAAGAAAGGAGAGAAAGACAGAAAGATAAAATTCAAGGAGCAGGGAGAAAAAAAATGTAAGTATATACTTACATATGTATGTACTTACATATACATATCCATACACACAAATAATTCAATAACACAAGCAAACAAACATACTCGTTCGCAGCCTTTGAAACACACACGAAAAAACAAACAGACATACACACATCACCTTACAACATACATACATACATACATACACACCGAAACAAACAAACAAACAAAAAAACATCATTCCCACATCAACAACAACAACCCCTTCCCCCTCCCCCCTCAAAAAAAAAAAAAACACATAACAAAAACAAACAAAAAACATCAACATCACCTCACAACAACAACAACAACACCTTCCCCCTACCCCTCCCCCTCCCCTCAAAAAAAAAAAAAAAAAAAAATCAAGTAATCAAGAAATGCAAATTGATTAGCATTAATCAACTCCCGCGCGCCAATCACTCCACTCGAGTCTGAGGCGGAGTGATAGACGCTACTCCACTCGCTCGTCGTCTTGAAGGAGTGGGGGAGTCGGGGTTTTGGTTGTGGGGGGGAGGGAGGGAGGAAGGAGGAGGAGGAGGGAGGAGGAGGAAGGAGGGGGAAGGAGGGAGGGGGAAGGGAGGGGGAGGGGGAAGGAGGGAAGGAGGGAGGAGGGAAGGAGGATGGGTGGAGAGAGGGGAAGGGGAACGGAAGGAGGGAAGAGGCGGGAATGAGGAGGGGGGAGGGAGGGAGAGACGAAGGAGGAGAGAGAGTGGAGGAAAGAGAGTGGGAAGGAGGGAAGGAGGGGGAAGTGGAAGGAGGGAGGGAGAGAGTGAAGGAAGGGAAGGAGGGAGGGAGGAGGAAGAGTGGGAAGGAGAGAGGGGAAGGAGGGAGGAGGAGGAAGAGAGCGGGAAGGATGGTGGGAGAAAGGCAGGGATCGAGGGAAGGAAGGAAGGGAGGGGGGAGAGAGCGGGGAAAGAGGGGGAAGAGGGAGGAGGGAGGGGAAAGATGGGAAGGGATGAATCGTGAAGCAAATGGAGTAACCAAACCCCGTTACTGTGAACGACACCCCTGCCCAATTAGGAGAATAACATAGCCAATAACATCTGTTTATGCAATCGCCCTGAAAGCAATGGGATGCATCTGCAATATGTAAATCAAGGGAGGAGATAGAGAAGCACCCCCTCCCCCACTCCCATGGGACTCCCCCCTTCCCCCACAAGGCGTGTAGAGAATGTTAACATCCTGACTTGGTGATTCACTAAATATCATACCTTCAATTATCAATAACATCTATTCATAATCTATTAGCATTTATTAACATCATTCTTTCATCAAATATTTATATAATGAGATACTTCTGATATGCAATTACCTATTAATACATTAATTTAGGAGGTATTAGTGGGGAAAAACACAGAGATGTGAGAAAGGGCAAGGAGACGGGGAAGGGGAGGGGGAGGGGAAGGGGGAGGGCAAAGGGGGGGGTGAGGAGATAAGGGGGCTGGGGAATTGGGAAGGGATAAGGGGAAGGACAAAGTGGGGGGTGAGGAAATAAAGGGGCTAGGGAAATTGGGGAAGGGGAAATTGGGGAAAGGGAAGGAGAAGAGAGAAAGAATAAAGGAGGTAAGAAGTTGGGTATGCGGGAAGAGGGAGGAGAGGGATGGGGAAAGGGGAAGTAGGTAAAAATGAGGAAAGATTAGGGACTGGAGAGGTGAGAGATGAGACACGGGAAGGCAAGAGAAAAGAAAAGAGGGAAAGAGAAGGGAGGAAGAAGAGGAAGGAATGAGGTAAACAGGGAAATGGGGGAAAGGTAAAAAGGGGAAAAAATTAAGGAAGGAGGAAAAAGGAGAAAGCCACAGAGGAGGAGAGGCAAAGTAAAATTGGCAAGGATAACACAAAAAAGGGAAAGTGAGAGATGAGGGAGAGAGAGAGAGAGAGAGAGAGAGAGAGAGAGAGAGAGAGAGAGAGAGAGAGAGAGAGAGAGAGAGAGAGAGAGAGAGAGAGAGAGAGAGAGAGATTTTTTTTGGAGATATGACAGGAAGATAAATTGATAAAGGAATAAGATTTCTTGGGTCGCACTTCCTCCACTGAGTTGATTTCAAGATGACTGATAAAAGGCGACGGAGGAGGAGGCAGAAAAAAAGAAGAAGAAAAAAAAGAAGAGGAAAAAAAGAGTAAATTTGCATCAGAAACTTTAGTCTGTTGACGGTAGTTTTCGCAAAATATGCAACCTCTTTTTACCTAACTTTTAGAGTAATCACTTTCGTTATTTTTTTTACAGTGGATCGTGATACTGATAGATAATTAATACTTGAGCTGATTTTTGGCCTTTCTCATATTTGGTCTCTCTCTCTTTTGAATAAATATGAAAATAACTAAACACATAGATATATAGATTTTTAATTTGTCTTTGAGATTTTGATGCGAGAGAGAGAGAAAGAGAAGAAAATGCAGATATATTTCCTTCTCTTCTAAAAAGAAAGAAAGAAAGAAAACGATCCAGAATTCTTTCTTAGACCTAATTAATGTAATTGAATCTTCCTGTTTTCAGCATGTTTTCCCCTTTGTCGATTTTTATCTTTGGTACAGCCTGACAATCAAGATTACTTTGATCAGATTTTTTTCCTTTTTTTTTACAATTCCATTTTACCAATATTAAGGATATATATTTCTAGTTGGTCTACACATTCCATTATTTCTCTCTGTATACTGACAGTTCTCATTGCGCTGGTACATAAATATCAATTTGCCTCGGAGAGCACAATGAACAGTTCATGGGCAGTTCACTGATTAGCTGTTATTCGTTAATATTAAGTTAATTGTCGGCTATCGACATTTATACGCAACATCCTTTTCAAGTATCATTTGTTCTTCCTTCTTGGTGCAAAAGTAATTGAGAAAAGTAAAAAAGAGAAAAGAAAAAGAAAATATATACATATATACATACAGACACACACACACACACACACACACACACACACACCACATATATACAGTTCCAAGTCATATATTTTACTTTACTCACATATGAAAATCATATCAGTTGAACAAAACGTGAACGAATATAGATACTAATTTTCAGGGACATATCTTTTTTAAATTGAACTTCTAAAGATTACAATCAGTTTTCTCTCCTCTCTCACTTAGTGCCATTGGGGGGGGGGGTCTTTGATTGGCCCAATCAGCTGAGACAAAACACTGATATCTCTGAGACAAGCTCATACACTTTCAACTATGACACCTGATACATCTGACACGAAATTTACACATTCCAATAAGGAAGGCCCCAAACCAAACATTCCAATCTTGCATGTGGCTTAAACCTTCTACACATTAATGAGGTAAACAACCAACTTTTCTGACACATCTGACACAGACCTAACAAACCACTTTTACATATCACTCTCTCACACATCTGCTGTAAGCATAACAACCCAACTTGCACCCACCATAAACCTAACAACCCACATTGTTTCTACCACAAAAGCCCCCCCCAAAAAACAACTACCAACCCACCACAGAGGAGGATAGTCACTACCAAGCCACCTTGCATCTACCACAAACTTCAAAAACCCACTACCAACAAATCTTGCACAAACCTAAAAACCTACTCCCAACCCACCTCTACACTCGCCACAACCCCCTCCCCCCTCCTACCACAACCAACGCCCCTCACACCTACCGCAGTACCACAAACCTGTCGCCACAAACCTCACCTACCACAACCAACGCCCCTTACACCTACCGCAGCACCACAAACCACCCCCCCGCCAGCCACAACCAACACCCTCACACCAGTGCCACAACCTCACCCCCCCCCTACCGCCACAACCAACAACACCCCTCACACTACGCAGTACCACGAACCACCCACCTACAGCTTCTCCCTCACCCCCCCACCCCCCACCACAACCAACACCCCTCACACCTACCGCAGCCACAAACACCCCCCACCCCCACCACAAAACGCTCACCCTACCACAAACCACCCACCGCTACCCCCCCTACCACAACCTACCGCAGTCACCACAAAA